AATATTCTGTTAAAGGGGTCATATGATGCGATTTCAATTTTTCCTTTCAGCAAAGGACCAGCTTAAACCAGCATCCCAGTGTCAAAACATACCTAAGCAGCATATGCTGGTTTTTTCAACAGTCTACCTGATCTGACCCATAAAAATTACGTTTGTTGTTTGTTATGCTACTGTAATCAAGTCATTTGAAGTAATACTGTTGACCTGAATAAAGCTTTTTAATTTATAGTTTAGGACATATCACACATTTTAGTTGACCTTAAAAAAAAAAACAGCCAGCATAATATATAATATTACCACCATATATACTTTCTACATTAACATAACGTTTCATTTTAACAATATGCTACATTAATTAGTAGCTAGCCTAAATGTTGAAATTAATTAACATTAACTAAGATTTAAAAAAAAAAAATGCTTTAGAATTATTTATTCTTAGTTCATTTTAACTATGTAGTTAACAAGTGCAACCTTACTGTGAAGTGTTACCGATTTTTTAAACGAATTTCTGTATTTTATGAGCTTGTGATAATTGTGCTTTGTGGTGATGTAATTTTTAAAAAAAAAAAAAAAAAAAAGGGGGGGGGGGACGAATTTGTATTATATATTTTATGAGTAAATGTGATGAATAATAACAATAGCTTATGTTTTGTCAACGTACTGTCCGATATAGAGCGACCCGACAGTGCTGTTGCTATGGTTACCTCCTCACGCAAAGCCAATATCTGTCCACATATCTAACTTTTGTGCAAATATAGTTGAATCATACCATTTATACATATATGTAAAAAAAATACACACCTTTTACCCCCAACCTTCTTTTAGCTCATTCGCAATCTGTGTACTCCTCAGGTGTCCTCAAATCCTGTAGTAGTAGGCAAACTCTAAACACTAGCTGAAGGGAAATTCAGGTCACGTAGGCTTACCAAAACGTCCGCATCAACACAACATCAGATGCGCACTGTAATTTATGAAAATGGAAGTCGTGTCTTCTATTTCCCAGGCCTAGAGGAGCTATCGGTGGTCTTCTGATTAAAGCATCAGCTACTCAGCACCATGACAGCTCGTGATTTAGTGATGCAATTACCAAAATAACAGCAAACACCCATTAAGCCAATAATTGGTGGAATGGAAGCGAGAAGAAGCAGTGATGAAATGCTCTTCTCCAAGGGGTACCTACCTCGATTTACATCCTTGAAACTTTAATCGTGTCTCCCTGGCCCTCGTGGTTATGATAACGTGTCCCTTGCCGATCATCAGAAGAGGCTTGATGCGTGAAGGCAGAATTACGTTTGTTGTTTGTTATGCTACTGTAATCAAGTCATTTGAAATAATACTGTTGACCTGAATAAAGCTTTTTAATTTATAGGTTAGGACATATCACACTTTTTAGGTGACCTTAAAAAAATTACAGCCAGCATAATATAATATTACCACCATATATACTTTCTACATTAACATAACGTTTCATTTTAACAATATGCTACATGAATTAGTAGTTAGCCTAAATGTTGAAATTAACATTAACTAAGATAAAAAAAAAAATGCTTTAGAATGATTTATTCTTAGTTAATTTTAACTATGTAGTTAACAAATGCAACCTTACTGTGAAGTGTTACCGATTTTTTAAACGAATTTCTGTATTTTCATGAGCTTGTGATAATTGTGCTTTGTGGTGATGTAGTGAAGTTTGCCAAATTGTAAAAAAAAAAAAAAGGGGGGGGGGGGGGGACGAATTTGTATTATATATTTTATTTGTAAATGTGATGAATAATAACAATAGCTTATGTTTTGTCAATGTACTGTCCGATATAGAGCGACCCGACAGTGCTGTTGCTATGGTTACCTCCTCACGCAAAGCCGATATCTGTCCACATATCTAACTTTTGTGTAAATACAGTTGAATCATACTATTTATACATATATGTAAAAAAAATACACACCTTTTACCCCCAACCTTCTTTTAGCTCATTCGCAATCTGTGTACTCCTCAGGTGTCTTCAAATCCTGTAGCAGTAGGCAAACGTATCCGTTCTGCTGCTTCTTTCGCGAATAAAGCGGACGATGAGCAAAGGCGAGCCGTAACACGAGCATCATCGCTCAGCGAGGTGACATTAGGAGTCTACACGTCCAGAGAAAGGCATCGTTTTCGCGACAGGAGGAGTGCATTGTGTGTCTGTCGTGTTGTGCTGAGGGCTTCCCCCTTCAAATCACGCCAGGGACTCCGTCTCCATCGTGTCGATTAGACGCGATTCGATTGAAGCATGAACGCCAGCATCGCTCCGTTATGTGGAAGGAGGCGGTGGTGGAGGAGGAGGGGATTTATTACGTAGAGAAAACGCTTTTCTATTGGTTTTCTGTACGAGAGATGGCAAATGTTCTTTGGGATAACCTCGCATCCATCAAAACACCTTCTACTACCCGTCGAGGTGCGAAGTCACGCGGGCATTTCCACGACTAACGTTATGTCCCTCACAATTACTACTGCGTGCTGCAAACACACATCAGTCATGCATATAACGTCAAGCGCTGTCATGAGTCATATGGAGATGGCAGAGGTGACATTGAGATGCGAGGAATGCGTTTCAAACATGACTATCGATCGGGGAGGTGTGTGAGACAGTGAGAGAGATGGAGACAAAACATAGGTCTGCTCTTGTTCAAAGCTGCTCCAGACTTTCAGATAAGACTATCATATTACTACTGTACATCCCATTATAATACTATCTTACAATAGTAATATCATCAAACCATTAAATACTATCACAGTACTGCACATAATGCTTTCATACCAATGTACATCATTCAGCTATAATACTTATCTTACAATACACTGTAAAAAGTGGTGACTTGCAATCTTTACCGTCTGTAAAAAAATTCTGTGACATTTACGGTAAAATACCGGCAGCTGTGGTTGCCAGAACTTCACCGTTAAAAATATGGTAGCAACATTTTAGGTTTTACAGACTTAACTTAACCTCTCAATAAAAAAAACGTATTTCATTAACTGATGTAATGTTAATAAACCAGCATATTGAAGTACTAATATCTGTTTTGAACCATTGTAATACTAATAACCACCAAAAACAGGTAGTGATGAGAAAGTCACGATGAATCAAAGCTCATCACAAACAGCTCTTCCACAAGCTGAAGAAGGAAGTACTTACATATATACAGAAGTTGCACAGTGTCATTCACACAAACACTAAACACCATCATGACGTTTTTTGAAATGAAAAAAAAAAAATTAATTTTATATATGACTTTTTCTTTTTCACTTCCAAAAACCGTAATTTTAACAGTATTTTACTGTAAAATTACATTAAATGTAACAACAGTTATTCACCGTATATAGTATGGAAAGTTACTGATAACCAATTAACAGGTCTTTACTGTAGCATTTTTTACAGTCTTTTACTGTTAAAATCACAATCATTTTTTACAGTGTAAAGTTAGTAGAACATTGTAAGTAACGTCTTTGTAACCTTTAAATTATATTCATGAAAGGAAAACGGGCCATTTCAATGCTTTAGACTGAACCAAAGCTCATCACAAACAGCTTTTCTATGAGCTGAGAAGGGCAATACTTATATATAGAAGGTGCACACAATGTCATTCATACAAACACTAAATCCCATCATGGTGACACACATGATACTGAAATAATGCAATAAACATTCATTTAACAACATTAGATTTAAGATTAAACCCTAATGTACACAACTGATAAGAAAAAACTAAGAAGAAACATAGTTATTTCAATTAAAAAACAAAATAGGAAGTGTCACGCAGGGAATTCTGGGAGTGTCTATTTACGTTTTTTCAATGTAAATTATACAATGACTTTTTCTTTTTCACTTCCAAAAACCGTAATTTTAACAGTATTTTACTGTAAAATTACATTAAATGTAACAACAGTTATTCACCGTATATAGTATGGAAAGTTACTGATAACCAATTAACAGGTCTTTACTGTAGCATTTTTTACAGTCTTTTACTGTTAAAATCACAATCATTTTTTACAGTGTAAAGCGCCGTATACTGCTACTTGGTTTGACCCATAAAGTGTTTTGTTGTTATAAATTAATGTATTTAGGTTAAGTGATATTAAATAATATTTTTGACTTGAATAAAAGCAATTAAAAAAATTTTTTTTTTCAGTTTACTGGTGTGATCATGCTACTTACGTAATATCATAACACTGTATATACTACTAATCTCATAGTACTGTCATATCATAATGTAGATTACAATTGTCATTTTGAAATACTATCATGATATAGCCTACTATAATATTCCTGCACATTATTCCAGTATCACAGTATAATATAATATTTGTAGTACCATCAGACTAGCAGTGTACTGTTACTTCACATTATAAAAATAAATTTGTCTAGAGTACAAACATGTATATTTGCCAGTTTATTAAGTGAATTTACTGTTCAAAAGTTTGGAGAGGTTAACATTTTTTTATGTTTTTGGGGAAAAATGTCTCTTGTGCTCAATTGATCAAAAATACAGTAAAAACAGAATTATAATATTGTGAAATATTATTACATGCCACATGATCCCTCAGAAATCCTTCTAATGTACTGATTTGCTGTTCAAGAAACATTTATTATCCATGCTGAAAACAGTTGTGTTGCTTAATATTTCTGTTGGAATCGTGATATTCATTTACTAACTGCTTGTTTTCTTTAAAAGAAAAAAAACACTAGCTTCTCTAATCTTTTTGTATTCTATCTGTTTGTTTTCTTTTTATTTATTATACAATTAACAAAAGCAAAAAAAAGGCCTCTAACACTAGCTTGCGCTATTCGTTTTCTATTCTATCGGTTTTCTTTTTATTTATTATATAATTTTAAAAACCCTTGCTATGTGTACTGCATTAAGCTAACTGAGACTTGTTATAGCACTTGCATATCATTGCTCTCTTGTTGATTTTGATTGCTTCCATTGTCCTCATTTGTCGCTTTGGATAAAAGCGTCTGCTAAATGACTAAATGTAAATGTGATCAATTTTATTTTCAGGATTCTTTGATGAATAGAAAGTTCAAAAGAACAGCATTTATTTGAAACTGAAATCTTTTGAAACATTATAAGTGTCTTTACTGTCATTTACCGTATGATCAATTTAATGTGTCTTGACTAAATAAAAACATTGATTTCTTTCAAAACAAAATTCCTACTGATCCCCAAAATTTGAACAGTATATTTGAATATTAGCTTTTTTTTATTTAAAATATATTTTCTAAACCATGCGTTTTGTTTGTTTGTTTATTTATTTAACAGCTCATTTTTGACTGTGGAATTATGGCAAATTATCATAAAATGTATCTTTTTGAATGTAAACACATTTCTGTTCTTTTTCATGATTTAAAGTTGTGGTTATTTGACCTCGTGTCACCAAAACCTCAAAACTATCCCATTCTAACGGTTTTTGGTGACTCAACATGATGTTGCCTTTTGTCCTTCGTGTGCTCTTTGAACGAGGAATGTAAACAAGCAATTAAAGTCTGCAAAGTTCCCACGATTCCACGCATACCTGCGACACGCACAGAACTTCCCCATTAGCATATCTGGCATACCAAAGTCTGACACCAAACCCAGCCGGCCTACTCACACAGAGAGCAAAGCAGTCTCACTGAGAACCACGCCTGCTCTTAATGCACTTAATGCACTTAAAACAGTACCACCCCTCACAGTTTCTATTAATACATATCTGAAGAAACCTAAAGTTTACGATGCAAAAACACTTCATAACCCAACGTTAAATGTTTGAACCTGCTCAAAATAATCAATAAAATCCAAAAAAGATGGAATAAATATGGTGATTTACTCCTTAGAGCAGCTTTCTACTGTACAGAAAGTTTCAATGTCTCTTTTTTGTTGGAAGTTTGTGATGCAACGGCATGTAATTCCCTACAAATTAACTCAGACGCATGATGAGAATCATTCCATTCACAAATGTGGACAAACAGCAATCACAACATTTCTGAGCTCAAAGGGATCCGCCCACCACACTTATGTGACTCTGAACCGCACAGTGACATTTAACTCAGAAGTTATTTGAGGAAGACAGATTTCACCTGGACGGTAAGTCTTCACTGCTACTTCCATGAAACACGGTGTGTCATTAGGATTTCGAACATCTCAGCAAACTTTCTAAAACTGAAGCCTTCGAAAAGTGTATGAAGTCAAGCACAAAACCGGTAAACAGGTGAGTCATCATGAGACAGACAAGTTATGAATTATGCTTTTAGAAAAAGTTGTATTGCTCAGAAATGGATTGGGAGCCTGAATGGGGTTCTTAGTAATGTTTCATTTAAATATCAACTTTGTCTCAGATGTTTCTCCTAAAATTTCTTAGGTGAAATCCAAACAGACACAAATGAAACACAGTTTGAGTACAGAGCTATGAAATTAATGTGGAATTTAATGAGAAACATTTGATTTCAGATTGAAAACTTTTGACGTTTGAAAGAAAATCTGATAAGACACTCAATCAAAAGCCTTAATTTGCTTTCCATCTAATCTCATTGCTGTCTAAGAGAAACAACTGAGATATTAAATAAATCTAACATCTTTCATTAAATAAAATGTCTTTACATTTCATAGCCAATACAATCAACTGAGTGTTTAAAATACAGATACTATTATACTTAATGTGATAACTTAATATATTTATAATATATTTGAATATCCTATAACATACTATATTACAGTATCCACTGAATATACTATAACATTTCAATTTAACATTTAATAAAAAAAATACTTTTTAATATACCATTTAAAAAATGTACACATACATAGCTATTAATAATGATGATCATCATCTCTTACATATAGCATATTCATTCTGTATGAATGTTGAGATCTTTCAAAGCAACCAATAAAACCAAATGATTAAAACATTTGATTAATATATATATATATATATATATAAAAAAGGATTAAAACATGTAAACTTTCTGAACAAATGTAAGCTAACCTGACCACATTTACTACTTTGTTCTCAGGTGTGCATCAAGTGACTGCTGTCAGTTAAAATTTCCATTACGAGAAGATCTATTCAGTATTTCCCATGATGGCAGGTAATAAAAACAAAGAAATTAGGGAAAAATATTAAAGATAATAAAAATATAACAAGAAAAGGAATTAGATATAAAATCGTATCATGTGCAAATCACACGATGTTGTTTCCGTGATGTGGAATTCTCGAAATGCAAATGCAAAGTAAATGCAAAATAAAGGCGAGATAAATAAATGATGCATTTACTCTTTGTTTCCTTTGGTTTTCCTCTTGTTATAGAACACGGTGTCCCTTGCACTGGGTCAGAAGCCACCTTTTGCATGAATGGAGGAACATGCTTTAAAATACCCTCGGTGTCTACTCCCACATGTGTGTAAGTATCTTCACGAACAGAATATCTCTTGTTTTGTCATTTACATGATAAAATACCTATGAAATGTTTTGCATGAAACCCTTGTCCTGTAGATGCCGTGCAAACTACGAGGGCAGCAGATGTGAGCAGTTCCAGCTGTTCAGCTTCTTGCAGGACAGTGAGGAGAAGGGCATGATCGCCGCTGTGGTCATCATCGCCCTCCTCATCCTAGTGGTGCTCGGTGTGGTCATCTACTACATCTGCAAGTGAGTCACATGCGCTTCTGACACTGAAGTTAAGCATTCAACACAAGTTTTATCGACATTATAAAGAAACATGCGGTGGATTATCACAAAAACTCGTCTCTCAGTTAATAAAAAGAACTGTCTACAGTAGCCTAAAGCAGTGGTTCCCAACCCTGGTCCTGGAGCCACCCCAACACTGCACATTTTGTATGTCTCCTTTCTCTGACACACCAATTTCAGGTCTTGGAGTCTCTACTAATGAGCTGATGATCTGAATCAGGTGTGTTTGATTAAGGAGACATGCAAAATGTGCAGTGTTGGGGTGCCTCCAGGACCAGGGTTGGGAACCACTGGCCTAAAGCATTTAAAACGGAAGTTGATATAATTAAGCACATGAGCAAGATTATTAGTTCTTGCACAGCAGGCACGAGGCGGTGAGGTAATCACAGCCCTGCTAATAGACTTTGAAAAATACCTATAAATACTTGCTTTTTATCCACCGCAAGAACGCTACCATTTGTAACTTGAATGTGCGAGACTTCCGGTGTCATAGGTGTCACAATAACTTCCAGTTATTTTATCTGTTCAAAGACAGTCCGTTATACTACTTTATATCGCAAAACTGCAATTGGTATTTGTTATGATAGAATTTCAATGTATAATCATAATCTTAAACATACTGATTTTGCAGCGCGCATTGTTTTACCATTTACTGCACTTTGTTATTCTTCTAGTTAGCCTGTTTACCTGGGACGGCTAATGAAACGGAAGTCTCACACATTCATAGAAAATAGCTTACTTCCACCTTGCAAAATAAGCTGGTTACAACATTTCTGTAAATAGTTCATAGTGAATAACTTACATTTTGGACACTATATCGCCAGTTGCTTGATCTGTTCGCTCCGCCAACGAATTTGGTTCCAGATGAAGCCACAGTAGAATGAATCATTTGTTTATGAATCATTTTTTGAACGAATCGGTTGAGTGAATGATTCAGCGTGACACAACGGAAGTGAATAATTATGGACATTTGTGAACTTCAAAATATTCACTGTTTCACAAGTATAGCCCGAATAGCCACAAGAAGTAAACAATATACGTATAAGTGTGTGGAAAAAATAGATAACAAACCTTTTGTAACATTTTATCAAATTTTACAGCGCCAAAAAAATCCTAAAATGATGGGAACAATTTTACAGCTCAGATATTACACACAGATTTTAGTGCAGAAATATAAGTGCTTTTATAATAATACAATTAAATGTAGAATTTTAAATCCTTCAAAGTTCGGTCCAATTGACCTCCTTTGTAAATGCCTCATCCTAACCTTTAAAAAAAAAAACAAAGTTCAAGTTTTTTTGTGGTAATCAACCTTTTTTTTGTTGTTGTTTTTTTTAAATGCCATCCAATGTGTTTAACTTGAACCCAGAATATTCTTTTAAAGATTGTCAACTTATCGATATGTTAACATCATCTTTTATTTTATCTTTTTTAACCCCCAAAACCTACAAGAAATGAACACTCTTTTCTATCTTTACTATTTATTCCCAGAGTAAAGAGAAATGCCCAGAGTCAACCAAAACCTGAGTACTGGAGAGTCAACTCAAGAAGGCCTAGTCAGACGGTGTGACTCGACTTTTCAAACTCAGATGCATCATGAGAACTCGACATTGGTTACTAAAAGAGGCTTTGATGTTTTGGACGACTCCATTATTGATAGAGGAACAACTTTACCCATACAGTCTATGACTTTACCTTGTAACATCGCCCCCTTGTGGAGGTCTTGGACTCAATGTGAAAAATGTGTCAGCTGCACAATAGCCCAAAGTGCCAGCTACTCTCAAAATATCTTTCTTAATGTTCATAGATTTTGTAATTAGTTCTGTCAATTAAAACATCTTAATTTAAATATATAAAAAGGATGCAGATTCTATACAAGCAAATTGTTACCATATCAGATGTTCAATGGAAAGCAATACATTTCAAAACGAGCATCCTTAGCATTGATTTTAATTATAATTAGATATAGAAGACTTAATAATTTATATTATAATGGTCACATGTGCCGTGTACATACATTTTTTACAGTGTGCTGTTTTTGTTTTGGCTGAAACTTTGATTATACACATTCCTTTTTTTATTTCCTTCAATTCTACTGGATTATACTGAAATTCCTTCATAATGTTGAAATGTTTTACCATTAAATGTAAGTAACAACAACAAGCTCAATCATTAATATACACCACTGGACTGGACATACAATAATTTTATAAAATATAATCAGACACTATTCAAAGAAAATATTTTTCAAAAATCAAACATGTTCATGTTATAGAAGCATGTTACTATTTTTGCAGTATGTGTGTATACTGTGCACAGTCTGTATGTCTAATATCTAGATGAACTACTGTATGTGCCAAAATGTGCAATATACTGTACAACAGAGCACAATTAATGCACAATGTCTTCCACAATGCAATGTGATTCCAGTGAAATTAATGAACCAGATGGATGCATATTACCTAAAGTTTTACCAGTGTTTTCCTCTCACTATTAAATCTGACTGTCAAAAGTTTTAAATATTTAGATAACCTTCAATTTAAAAAAACTGAATTCTGTGGAATGGTTTATTGAGTTTCCATCTTAAATGCTTAAAAAATTAAATGAATATGAATTAATTAATCTACCTTACCTCTATCTCAAACGGTGTCAGAGTTTAATTAATTTAAGTGGGTACAGTTTATAAAAAATTAAAAATATGTTTTCAGTACCGTATATAAAAACAATAAAGGCATAATCTGAAAAACCAAAAACATGACAAATATGGATTCAGTACTGTATATAAAAACAATAAAGGCATAATCTGAAAAACCAAGCCTTGTGCATTTTAGGGAATAATATTCTGAATATTTTACAGTTGGTTTGATATCTCTATCTCAAATGAAAAAAATAATAATCTGAAAAATGAATCTTGTGCATTATAGTGAATCATATTTAGAGATTTTTTCAGTTGGTTTGATACATTTATCTCAAACTGTGTCAGAGTTTAATTAATTTAAGTGGGTACAGTATATAAAACACATGAAAAATATTGATTCATAAAAACAATAAAGGCATAATCCGAAAAAACAAGCCTTGTGCATTATAGGGAATAATATTCTGAATATTTTACAGTTGGTTTGATACTTTTATCTCAAATGATGTTGTCGTTTAATGGATTTATATTACTGCATACATTAAAAGTTGTAAAATTATTATAAAACACATAAAATGGTAATTCCAAAAACGGAGCTTTGTGCAATAATACGGATGTTTTCCCGAACATTTTAGTATTGGTTTTATATTACAATGTCACGTAGTTAAATTGTTTAATTAATTTAAATGGTAATTTTTATTTATTTATTTTTTTACATTTTTTCCCCTAGAAATGAAGCCTTGTGCAAAGTAAAGGGCATATATTTATGTCTATCTGAGTCAGTTTGGGCTCAAAACATAACAGCTGCAAAGAGTTTAATTGGCAAAAAAAAAAACAACGAATGTCTAATGAATGTCAAACGTCAAACTAACTTGACCGCCGTATCTATGGGAATGAGCCGCGGGCCGACACCGCAGCGTCAGGTGGTTTGGCGCCCTCACGCCCTCAGCGCCTTTGACCAGGTGATGCACTCTTACCATAGCGAGCCGCTGCTTTATATCTCCTTTAGATCAAATGGTGTTGTCGTTTAATGGATTTATATATACATTTAAAGTTGTAAAATTATTATAAAACACATAAAATGGTAATTCCAAAAACGGAGCTTTGTGCAATAATACGGATGTTTTCCCGAACATTTTAGTATTGGTTTTATATTACAATGTCACGTAGTTAAATTGTTTAATTAATTTAAATGGTAATTTTTATTTTTTTACATTTTTTCCCCTAGAAATTAAGCCTTGTGCAAAGTAAAGGGCATATATTTATGTCTATCTGAGTCAGTTGGGGCTCAAAACATAACAGCTGCAAAGAGTTTAATTGGCAAAAAAAAAAACAACGAATGTCTAATGAATGTCAAACGTCAAACTAACTTGACCGCCGTATCTATGGGAATGAGCCGCGGGCCGACACCGCAGCGTCAGGTGGTTTGGCGCCCTCACGCCCTCAGCGCCTTTGACCAGGTGATGCACTCTTACCATAGCGAGCCGCTGCTTTATATCTCTCACTGACACTGAAGATCAATAGTGATGCTTCGCTCGGTGGGTGTCGGATGGGGTCCAATCCAGCTTCTCGTTATGCCCCTCTTCCTGGCTGTGGTGAGTTGGACGCGGGGCAGGATGAATAAGGTTAGTAGGTTCGCGTGCTTATGCACTATTATGCAGCTTTAATTACGGGCTTTCAGAGTATAGTATGGTGAGTATGATAATGATAACAGTATTGAGTGAAAAAAATAATTCTCTTGCTTCCTACAAGACACTACAGAGTTCGCATGTTGTAGTGCATATTGCCTGTGGCTAAAGAAAGTTGTGTCCGCCGGGAATGTTGTTGTGGGGAGGGAGGGTGAGAGTTTGATTAACATTGGTTTAACAAAAGGGAGCAATAATAATAACAACAAAGTAATAGTAACAAAATAAAACCACCAACAAAAATAATAATAAGTAATATAACAAATGACAAAAATAATAACAAAAATAACAACAACAAAAATAGAATAAAAAAAACAATAATGCCAAAAAATAGGGATTTTTTGGTATTAACAACAAAAAATAAAAAATATAACAAATGACAATAATAATAATAACAAAAATAACAACAACAAACATGATAATAACAACAAAAATAATAATAACAAAAATAACAACAACAAAAATAGAAATAAATAGGGAGTAATATGAAATAATACCACAAATAATAACAATAAAAATAACAACAACAACAAACATGGTAATAACAACAAAAATAATAACAAAAATAACAACTACAAAAATTATAAATATAACAAATGACAAAAATAATAACGACAAAAGTAATAACAAAAATAGAATAAAACAAAAATAGGGAGTAATAGTATTAAATAATAACAACAAAAATAATAATTACAAAAATACAACAAAAACAGGATAAAAAAATTAAATAAATAATAGCAAAATAGGGAGCAATAATATGAAATACCAAAAATAATGACAACAAACATGATAATAACAACAAAAAATTATAATAACATCAACTACAAAAGTAATAATAATAAATATAACAACAACAAAAATAGAATAAAAAACAATAATAGCAAAAATAGGGAGCAATAATATGAAATAATACCAACAATAAAAACAACAAAAATAACAACAACAAACATGATAATAACAGCAAAAATAATAACAAAAATAACATCAACAACAAAATAATAACAAATATAACAAATGACAAAAATAATAACGTCAAAAAAATTAAAATAACAACAAAAATAAAAACAATAATAGCAAAAATATCAAACTACAAAAATAGCAAAAAAGAAAATAACGAAAATAATAAGAACAAAATAGCAAGAACAAAAATAAAAATATCAAACAACAAAAATAAAAATACTACAATAAAAATAATAATAGTAATGAAAATAAACAAAAACCGTAATAATAACAACAAAATTACTTGTATTATTTTAATTTACATCAAAAATAAAAACATTAATAACAAAAACAAAAGAAACAACAACAAAGAAATACAACAACAATAAAATAGCAGCAATAATAACAACAAAAATAATAATAACAAAAATAACAACAACAATAAAAACAATAATATATATTTTTAAATTGATGAGTGCTGGTGAAATGGTCACTGACTATCAGTCAAAGACCACAAACAGTTGATGATTTTAAATGATTTAACTGCTATATCAGTTGAGCATACACTTTTTAAATAAAGAATTAATATTGTACATAAACTATATAATCAAATATAAACCTATATACTAATAATGACTAAAAAAAGTTGAATTGAATAAATGTCATATTTAAGAAAAAAGAAATAATCCATTGCTTATTTTTATGCACACCAATATCTGTTTACCTCATTAAAATAATTTTTGACTAAAAATGTGACTACTGGTAAATTGGTAATACAGATAATCAAAAATCTGATTTGTTTTTTGTACAAAAAACTGTATTTATTGTAACGTTCTTTTCTTTCTACTAATAAAGGTAGGTATTAAATAAAGTATTATGACTGCCATCTAGTGGTGATTACTATGCATGACATTTGTGTGCTGTATGAACAGAATGTGTGTGTGTGTGTGTGTGTGTATAAATAAATAATAAAGGATTATAGAAATAATTTATATTTTAGAATGACAGAACATTTTTATTTGTTAAAATTTGAATGAATGTGTATTATTATTATTATTTTTATTATTAGCTACAGTATTTCTTTTCCTTTGTTTTTCATCATTTGTAATCATGTTTTGACTTTGTTCAGTTCACTTAAGTATTCCAGTGGTGTGAAATACATTTTAAAAAGCACAAATACACAAACTTTAAAATTAATATGAGGTTTTGAAAGAATTTCAGTAAATTAATTAAAATAGTTTTAGGGCACTGCCGTCACTGCTTTTCAACTTCCCTGTAATAAATGTGAGAAATCACCAGACTGAACTGAACTTATCGTGAGCATGACATGGCGAATGTAGGAGGAAAATGAAAAAATCAGATAAAGAGGCCGTCACAGAGGTTTCCATAATACATTTTTAATTCTTCAACGTATTCGACTGCTCCTATATGTATAAAAGAGCTAAAAGAGCACTTGGCACAAATGTTTAATTATAACTGAGGCATGAACACACCTCAGCACTGTAAACAAAGAAGCGTCCTGATGTTTACCACAAATCTCTTAATATGGCAACAAAAGGATCACAGCAGTGTTTATAAATCAAGTGGATGCAGTTTCTTCATCCCTGGCCTTGTCAAATTCCTGCGCGATCTTCAGCGCGGTGGTATTGAGCCCCACTGACTGCATATTTGTGATGATGGTCACCACCACCCCCTGTGGAGGAAGCTGCATCTGATTCGCTGTGTCGCTGGGTAACACCAGCAGGACGCTACTGGCCCCTACAGCGCCCCCTGTGTGTGAGACGTAATGTCTGCGGCTGCGGCACTGACCGTATTTCTGCCGTTTCTCCACCACCAGCCAGCCCTGGGCGTACAGACCGTCTTTGTCCCATGACGCCTCCGTTTTGTCCACTGGTGCCCATACGGCTTTGGCCGTGTGGGGTTTGAGGAAGCCAGGAAGCAGCCCATCTGTGTTCTTCAGTCCGGCCATCTGATAGCTGTAGAGCAGAGCGTTACCGAACACCAGAAGGTCACCCACACTGGACAGAAATCCACCTCCAGCCCATTTGTACGAATTGTCCACATAGGGGCAGTTCACAACACAAACTTTTTTATTGAAGTGGTAGAACCTGCAGGGAACAGGGGAGATGTTATACAGGTCAATGAGTGTTTAAAGGGGTCATATGGTGCGATTTCAATTTTTCCTTTACAGTATGTGGAAAATAATGTGTTTTTTTGAACCTTAAACCGCATAAACACATTTCATTACACCAAATATACAAAATAATGTTCTTTTTAGCAACATCATATGACCCCTTTAAGAAAGCATGGTGCAATCATATGAAAACAACAGGTTGGTTTTTACTATGATTTTGAAACACTTTTATACCATTTTCAAGAAAAGTTTCAAATAATAACTCTAAAAATGTAATGTGGTGTAACCATCAAGTAAAAAGTAATAACATATTTTCTTTACACCTTAAATATGTGAATGTACACATCTTAAATGGATACTCCAAAATTTTGTCATTAATCCCTTACCCTCATGTCGTTCCAAACCCATAAAAGCTTTGTTCGTCTTCGGAACACAATTTAAGATATTTTGGATGAAAACCGGGAGGCTTGTGACTGTCCCATTGACTGCTAAGTAAATTACACTGTCAAGGTCCAGAAAAGTATGAAAGACATCGTCAGAATAGTCCATCTGCCGTCAGTGGTTCAACCGTAACGTTATGAAGCGACGAGAATACTTTTTGTACATGAAGAAAACAAAAATAACGACTTCATTCAACAATTCGTCTCTGTGTCTCTCCGCATCACTGTAATGCCATTTTGGAGAATATCAGCTGGACGCAAGCAGCGTACGCTCTTCTGTGTCAGCCGCGCTGCACAGTTGCGCTGTTTTCGTTCAAATCAAAGCGTAAATACACGTAGAATAGCGTACGCTGCTTGTGTTCAGCGCATATTCTCAAAAATGGCGCTACGATGATGCGGATGGCAGATGGACTATTCTGACGATGTCTTTCATACTTTTCTGGACCTTGACAGTGTAATTTACTTAGCAGTCAGTGGGACAGTCACAAGCCTCCCGGTTTTCATCCAAAATATCTTAAATTGTGTTCCGAAACGAACGAAGCTTTTACGGGTTTGGAACGAGATGAGGGTAAGTGATTAATGACAAAATTTTAATTTTGGGGTGGAGTATCCCTTTAATCATTATTTTCGAAAAAAAGTTTTAAAATATATTTTTTCAAGGTAAAACACACACACATATATATATTTATATACTTTAGTATATAAAGTATATACATATATTATTTATATACTATAGTATTTATTGATATTATGAATTAATTTTTATTTGGATATTTTCAGTTTTCATATTATTTTAGTTTAAATTTAGTAATTTTGTTATGTGCTTTTGTCATTTTTTACTAGTTACAACAACACTGCTCCACATGACTTAATATTAAAATATTAATATTTACAAACAAAATTAATATTTTGCATCATATTTTTTTAACTTTTTCTTTTGAACATTTATTTATTTATCAGTGGATTTTTATTATGCTGACATTTTTAACTTTTTGATCCCCTAAAATCAGAATTCAGAAAATGAACAACATGTTCATCAATTATGTTTAAATTGCATGTTTAATGTCTCTTTTACCTGGAGCGGTTGTACATGATGGGGTCGTTTTCGTCCGGTACGGTGTTCAGCATGCCCAGCTCTTGAAACATCTTCATCATGTGGTCGAGGAAGCGCTGACCTGCTGCTCTCTCCACCACGGCGCTCAGCAGGGTGTATGCATGCGTCGAATACAGGAACGTAGAACCTACAGCAGTCGTATAACACAGAGTTAAGGACAAATTACTGCAGAGAAACATCACTGTCCAACAGAGATATTCTGCTGAACTCCTCATTTTGAGTTCCAAGAGAGATCAGGTTTGGACCGACATGAGAGTAAGTAAATGACGGTAAGCTATTCCTTCAAAAGATCAAGATCAAGATATCAAGGCAAGATGCTCTAAAAATAAACCCAACCTCACAACACATTATAACAGCGCTTTGTTGTGTGTAGTGAAAGCAGTTCCCCTCAGAAACACATTCATATAACCCCCCAAATCAATATTGAGGATTTTCTTCCAATAGTTCGTGCATCATGAACAGTGAGTGATCTGCCTGCTACAGTATTTTTCTCTTCAATGCGTCCGTCTTCAGCGTCTCAGGCCTGTGTTAATGGGCGTTTACAGACTTCATATTTTAACATAAATGACATTTTGGAAAATGATTGCATTGCAACGCAGTTTGTGTAAGTCCAGAACAGAGACGAGCTGCTTGCAATAAGACAAAAACCGGCCGGTTGCCGATCGCGTAAGCTCCAGGGGAAGCCATCCTACACACACGTGACTGACCGCTCGCTTGCACCAACAGGAGGAGGAGGCTTGTGTTACTCTCTACACTGCACTCAACCTGAGGGATTCCTACACTTTCAGTCTTTTAGGAGACATGAAAAACAGCGCATACCGCAGGAACGGTATAACGGAAAATATTAACGTTAGTGGTTTTGAAACCGTGAAATGTTCAAACCGCGGTATACCTTGAAACCGGTAATCGGCCCATGCCTAGAAAGCATACCGGGTTTAAAAATCAGCGGATCATCTTTGAATAAGTCCAGAGCCTGGATGACATTCTCAAAGTTGTCTTTGAGGTAATACTCCTCCTGCTCAAACTCTTTTTTCCTCAGGCCTCCTTTGGCCTCTTTGCTTTTAGCGCTGCTGTCCTCCGCTTTCGGCTTCTCTTTGTTTTCATCTGAGCTCTTCTCCGGGGGCTTCAGAAGGCGCTTGGCTTTCTCCCTGTCCTCTCGCACTTTCTTGCCATCTTTCTCATAGTGACGGATGCCACTCAAGTGGGACAGGAGCATCCGGGGCGTTATTGTTACCTGGTTTAAGGAGAGTGGGAAGAATGCTAAACCAAACCGAATGAATTATTTTGTCGGTTTGGCAAAAACGATGAAAATTCCCATAGACTTTCATTGAGGGGGTCAAAACTTTTGAACACATTTAGAGTATTGAAGCTGCCCATCACAAGCAAAGCTTAACGTTTATGCTAGGACAACAAGCAAAGTGCTAACCACGCAAGCAACATGTTATCAATGTGCTAAATCATGCTAGAAACATTCTCGGAACATGCTAATTCATGCTAGCAACATGCTAAGAACATGGAAAAACATTCTAGCAGCATGTTAAAACATGCTTGCAATGTGTTAAATCAAGCTTTAGCAACATGGTAAACATGCTACATCATGCCATCAACATGTTAAATCATGTTAGCAATGTGTTAAATAATGCTAACAACACACTAAATATGCTAGCAATGTGCTAAATCATGCAAACAGCACATTAAACATGCTAGAAAAATCATGCTGGCAACATGTTATGTTAGAAACATGCCACCAATGTGCTAATTCATGCTAGCAACATGCTAAATCATGCTATAAACATGTTAAATTATGCTAACAGTGTGATAAATCAGGCGACAACATACAAAAACATTCTAGCAACATGTTTAATGCTAGCAATGCCTTAAATCATGCTATCAACATCCTAAAACATGCTACCAATGTGGCAACATGCAAAAACATGTTAAAAATGTGTTAAATCATGCTGGTAACATGCTAGCAATGTGCTAAATCATGTTAACAACATTTTATTGATTTTGAGTAAAATCTTCAAGCTTAAAGCTTTTCAAAGTTTAGAACTTTCAGACAAGGCTTCAAACTTTACTCATCTAGCTCATACATTATTAACAAATAAGGTGAGCAATAAATTCACATTAATCAGTTTAGTTATAAATTAATTCAATTAAAAACATATTTTTAATGGATGTACTCACATCCTCTCCTTCATATCGTTTCTGTGGGAACTCTGGGACGTATTTTTGGACAGGAGCATCTAGATCTATCTTGCCGTCCTCCCAGAGTCTGGCGACGGCGGCTGCGGTCAGAGGTTTACTGATGCTGGCGATTCTCATCACTGTGTCCGGACCACAAGGCACTCTGTTCTCCAGATCTGAATAGCCAACCCCTGAGAGACAACAGACACAGCCAGTGGTCACTTTCTGAGCTACTGTTCTAACACAGGCCTCGAAGTGAGTAAAGGACTGGTGCACTTGGATGAGGACTTGTGGCCATCACATAAATGTGTCATTTTAAGCATGCATGGATTTTGAAAATCCTACAGTAGTGCAGACTACCCAAGAGCCTTCCAAGCATCAGTGTGCGGTGGGAGACTTCCTACCTTCACACCAAACATGACTGCCATCCACTGAGACTCCGATAACCATCCCAGGAGCTCCAGCTTCATCCTGCAAAATTATATGACTTGTCTGTAGGTCATTGTGCACTATAACTGAACTATAAATTTAAAATGAATATATATGAGCAATATAATATTGCATTTATACAACAGTTCGACAGCACGAGTGTGTAAATACATAAGAAACATCAATGCAGAGTCTTTAAAAACCCTCTTTTGTGCGGAACTACTATCTTTGTCCTACTGTCCTTTCATCTGTTTAGGGTGATTTCAGATGACAACAATTTGTTGGCTGCGTCTTACAAGGTGTTGTTGAAAGTAAAAAGAACTTGCTTGTTTACAACCCTCTTTCAGTGTCTTTCAATATAAAAGTCTTTACTGCGGACTCATTCATAAAAACAGTCTCTTGTCACATCCAATGACAGTATAATGTAGCTGAAATCACCATCACTAACACACACGCACACCGTTTCTCAATACTAAACACTATAATTAAATACTGCTATTATTTATTTAAAATATTATTTGTTGAATAGTAACATTTAATAAACAACAGCCATCATAAAAGTTGCTAGGCAATTCAGTCAAAAGTACAAAGGCAGCACACTGATATAACAGCTTTAAAGTTATAGATTTACCCAAAATGAATGATATCTCATGTTTAGCCACTACAGAAGCATCAGAGCCAGAGGCAAATTCCAGAAGATCTGGCCGAGGTGAGGTTGCTCTCGGCAGATATATATATATATATATATATATACACACACACACACACACACACACACACACACACACACAACAAACTAATATGCTAAAAATAAATAAATGGCATAAAAGTAATAACGTATAGTAGTAAATAAAGCGTGGTCCTGATACCTGTACCTTTATCCGCTGCAGCAGGTCTCTGCTGGTTTCTATAGCCGCTGTGTATTTGGAGGCAGTCTGGGCTCTGTGTCTTCGGTGCGATAATAAACAACAGCCATCATAAAAGTTGCTAGGCAATTCAGTCAAAAGTACAAAGGCAGCACACTGATATAACAGCTTTAAAGTTATAGATTTACCCAAAATGAATGATATCTCATGTTTAGCCACTACAGAAGCATCAGAGCCAGAGGCAAATTCCAGAAGATCTGGCCGAGGTGAGGTTGCTCTCGGCAGGTTCATGAGCGCTGAACGACGGCTGACGCCCTGGAGCTCACATCTCCGAAAACGTTGAAGCAAATTTTTAAAAAGATGTTATTGACGCAGAATCACGATACTTCAGCCCTAGAGCCAGAACAAAACCCGTCCCGATACCGAACAGCCATAAAACCGGGTGTCGGTTGTTGTCGGATGTGATGACAGGTCTCCTGCCTGTTGAAATTAGTCTCTTCATCAGCTGATCTCTGAACTTCACTCTGGATATCAACAAAGACGCAAAGGGCTCGGATTTCTGAACACTGAATTTCCATTGTGTGCCTATGAGACCCCGTGATATACACAGTAACCGAGACATGACTGCTTTACCACTAATAATAATAACGATAATAATACATGGGGAAAAGGATGAAATAGTTTATAGGAAGAGTACAGCCTGAAGAGATCCCGTTTGAACTCCGCAGAAGCAGTGACAGACAGACAGCTGACAACCGGACTATTTTACAGAATAGAGGCCCGCCATTTTAAAAATGTTATATATATATTTATTTGAATATAAGTAATTATATTTAAATTGAATTAAATTATATTTAGCATATTTGTATTAAAATCTCATGATCTGTAACATCTAATTATCTTCAAAATAAACAATCTAAACACAAACGTTTAACCGTTTGAACTTGTTTTAACCAAATAAAATGTTTACGTCTGCCTGCATGTGATTTTTATTTTTTTTTTTCAGAAAATGTTATTTTTTGACCGGATAGTGAAGGAAACTGGAGTGAACAATCAAACTAATCTAAATGTTGATGAGATTTAATCGGATAGTGAAAGAAAAACACTTACTTATTCATGGAACGGTAAAGGGTCTTTTAATATGAAAACTGTGGAGACTTTGACCAACCAACGGCTGATTGGCTCGTATGACAGTTGTGACTCTGATGTCAGCCAATCAGACGTGGGTATTCTGCTCTTGACAGCAGGCCCCGCCTCAGCGCTGTTGTCACAGCTGTTATTTTGACATTTTAAGTACAAATATTAATATATATGTCACTTTACACAGCCTACAGGCAGTTTAGTGACGCATAATTCATTGTTGTGTGTTTATTAACAGGAACGATCAGTTAACATATCGCTTTGTAGTATAAAGGACCGGCGGAACCCACATGCTCATGTTTTCTGCGCTAGTGAATTCTGTTCACTCAAAACAATCATTACTTTTGTGCGACTTACCGGATCTTTCATGATAACGGAGTGTAAACAGCAGCTCACCTTGCCAGAGGCTCTTCATTCTGTGTGTGGATACGTGTATAAAATATGATATAAATAAATGCTTAGATCAGAAGAAAAAACAAACAAAAAAAACTAAATAATATATTTAGATCAGAAGAAAAAAACGTTATTTCTCAAAAAAGATAAAAGTATATATACTATTATTGTAATGTTTAGATAAGAAAAAATCTATATAGAAAAAAAATGTAAAAAAAATATAAAAAAAATCCTTGAAAATATAAAAATATTTAAATGCTTACATCAGAAGAAAACATATTAAAAATATACCATTATTGTAAGTATATTATTACGTTTATATCAGAAGAAAAAAAATTATATCTCAAAAAAAGATGAAATTATATTACACAAAATGCTTAAATGCTTAGATAATATATTATTGTAATGTTTAGATCACAAGTATATATATATATATATACATATATATATATTAATACAAATTATACATACACAACATATATTTATAATTATATACTAGCCATTTTTATTCACGCTAAGTGGATTCTTTCAGCATTCATTTTGTCAAGATATGCTGAAACAGTCAACAACAACCCTGAATTAGTCCAACTTAAAGCTCAATAATAGTTTGTTTACAGTTTGTACAATAGTAGCACTATTGCCAACAACACAAATGTTGCATCAGTTTGAACAGTAAAGCCTCAAGAAAGACTTTGGCTGAAATGGTCTGGTTTTGTAATCAAGTGGTTTTAACCGTATGAACGCATTCGGTTACTTCACGTCCTGCAATGTCACATTCTACACCTTCCAACTGCTTAGACATTACAACTGAAATCTTCCAGGGAGACATTTATGCAACAGAATAATCAAATATAATACTGTATGTAACTGGAAGCAGATGGTCTGATTAGCATGTGTTGTGAAGCAACATCCTCTTAGCAATGAGTGGGAGGAGATGAAAGGCTCTGTAGTGAATATAGCGAGCAATTCAGAGCACAAGTGCACTTGAAGCACTAACAACACCTCAAAGACAGACCCCAGGCTTTAGAAAATGTCAAACGGAGTGGTTTTATTTATATTTATTTTAGCTTTGTACATTTCTGTATGACATACATTTAATACTCCTACATTTAAAATGACTAAAACGAATGAGGCACAACCAAATATGATTTCATCATATTTTTCAAATTCAAAACGAGCACATTTTGAACCACATGGTTTTCGGCGTAAGCGAACTCAGCAAAAAAAAAAAAAAAAAACGCCGCCCA